TCTATGAATTGTTTATTAAATACAATGAAGAATCAGCGATTAAATTAACCCCAAAAAATAATTAAACTCGATCTTAATTTAATATTTTTTTAAAACAATTTCGAGGGCGAGAGGAAATAAATTGACCCAAAAACCTTAAACCCAAACTTTCTTAATCATTTTTAAACAAATTTAGGGTTTTAAATTGGAATTTAAAAAGGTAATCCAACATTTTTATCATGCTAAACCAAATTCATGGGCTCAATTGATTTTTATTCATTTTTCTTTTAGTATGTGGAGTGTTGATTGCCTTTTTTGGGTTAGTTTGTAGTGTTTCTTTTGGAAGGTTAATTTAACTTATTAGTGAATTTATTTTTAAGTAGAAATTTCATAAGCTAGAATTTTTTCCTTTTTCTTTTTACTTTTTTTTGTTTTATCCTTTTGAAGAAGAAGGAAGAGAAAGATTCATAATGAACATTAATATCTAAAACAAGAAGAGCTTTCAAATATTAGAAGGAAGTTAAAACCCAAATATTTGCATGAAAATCAGCATGTGAAATAATTTAGACTACAATACCAAGTGGTTTATTTGGCTCACAATTTTCTTATTTATTAAATAAATAGTTTTTGTATCAAAATAAAAAGATATATTATTTCATAATATTTAAAAGGAGTAAATTCACCTTATTTAGTTTTAGATTTGCTCCAATTTACTAATGCAGACTTCAATTTTTTAAATTATACTTATTAGTCTTGATTATGTAAGAGATTCAATACTGTTGGCTCCCGTTTCGAGTGATTTTAAATGATTGAAAGTGCCTCTAAAAGTAATTGTTGTTTTTTTTTCTGTTGTTATTCCTTATAACTTGCGTGGAAATTTTACATTAGTAAGGACCTCACATTTTCAAATTTTTAAAAATATTCGAATGATTTTTTCTTTCTTTTTTTTTTTTTTGAGAAAAAATCAAATTTGTTAGCTTATTTTTATTTTTTTTTTTTTTTTTTGAGAAAAATCAAATTTGTTAGCTATTTAAAGGTCTTTATTAGAATTAAGAAATAATATTTACGAATAATTTATTAACTCATAGTGGTAGATGGCTTGTCTTTTCTATTAAATAGGTCTATGCATTTGCAGGGTCGATCACTATAACTTAAATCATGGGTTTGATCCTGCGCAACACAAACTCTCTCCGGGCTAATTACCCCTTTTGCCTCCAAGAGCAAACAAGGATTAGTCAAATTTGTAGACCGTTACAATGGATACTAGCCTTAATACCTCATATTAAAAAGAAAACAGTTAAGGTTTTTTAAAAGTTATTTAAATATTAAAAGTTATTTAAATATTTCATATTAACTATAGAAATAAATGCGCTATATAAACTCCTAAATATTGGATTCATTAACTATAGAAATTGAAATTGAAATTGCTTAAAGTTTTTTTGTAGTTGAACTAAATGAGTTTGATTGATTGCTTATTTGGAGTTGATTTTTTGGATTCATTTTCTGTATCTGAACTTGGTCTAAATAAAATGATGCCATATTCATATATAAAGTGATAAACTATTTAATATTCTCTCACTAACTTAAACATCGAAGTGGTTGCAGGCTTAAGGCCTCTCTTTTTTAAGGCCTCTCTTTCTCTCCCTTTTTGTCTATATCTTGTAGATTTCTACATGGCGTTGTGGATAGATTTTTTCTAAAATCTATCTAATAAAAAAACTTAATATTTATTAAATGTAAAAAATTATTAATTAAGATTTATTAGTTTGTAACTCCATTATTTAATAAAAAAAACTTTTTGATTTTATTAAATTTAAAAAAAATTAATTATAATGAAAAAAAAAATGGCACATCATTAGTTTCATACTCTAATATGTTGCCACGTAAGCATTTATACCTTAAAAATTATATATTTATATTTACTAGTCACGTGCTCGCGCGATGTGCGGATTATAATATTTTGTTATTATTCCTATCATTCTTCAATACTCACCTAAGTAATCAATAAAAAAAGAGAAATAAAGTGTCAAAATTTCATTATTTTTTGCCTTGAATTTAGAAAAAAAATTTCATATTTATTTATAAATATAGATCTAGCACTCCCATAATAAAATAAAAGGAATATTTGCTAATTATTTGTTGCTAATTATTTGTTCTTTGAGTCTAAATGCGAGTGCACCATATGTGAATCAATATATCAAGGACATTATTTCACTAACGTGTGAGAATCTACATTTTAGAAGAAAACTAAACAAAAAGAAAAAAAAAAAACCGGTTGACAACCTAAATTTAACCATGCCAAATGTCCAATTCATACACAAACATAGTAAAAAAAAATAGATAAAAACTAAAAACCAATCAAATAAATCAAACTAATAATCTTGAAAGATCTTTCATTATTTGTAAAAAAAATAATAAAACAAATTCACAAATGTTATAATAATTAATAAAACAAAAAAAAAAAAAATTAAAAGAAAGTATTACTTTGGTAGGATTTGTGAACCAATAAGTTCACCAAATTTCATGCAAATATAAATAGTGTGGCATGTTAGAAAACTTCGATCATAAATTGTGATAGAAGCTTCTATTATTTTCCTCTGCCGTATTGTTATTGGTTTTCGGTAGCTTCCTCTCTTGTGATGGAAGTTTCTATTATTTTTCTCTGTTGTGTTGTTATTGGTTTTCGGTAGCTTCCTCTCTCAGAAGGGGAAAGAGAGAGGAAATGGAAAAATGATTTATTTATTTATTTTGAGAAAAGGAATTATTTACACTATTTTTGCATGTTGTATTCATGAAATATTCTTTCACATTTAAGACAAATGATTGATTGCCAAGAATACAAAACAAAGGACGTTATAAATATAAATTTCCCACTTTATATCAATAAATGAGAATAATTAATAGTTACATAATAAAACAATGAATTAAAAATGCAAAAAGAAAAAAAGCAAATGTGCACTTCAAAGCTCTAGTTTTGTGCCTTTTTAGCCTTGAAGTTCTATTTTTATATATTTATATAGATATATATATATATAGATATAAATATAAATAAAAAGCAAAGCTCTTTGAGCCGTCTATTTCTTTTCTTTTTTTTTTTTTTTCCTTTGGTGTACATGGAGAGCAAACCCTCAAAGAGAAAGACTAGACAATAATATCGGGCTAAAAGCAATACGCCAGGAGAAATTCTTACATAGACTCATCCACTACATCAGCTATAAATTCATTCAATGAAATAAAGCAACATCAATAATTTGCATTTTTCTAGTATCATATGAGTAACTCTTAAACCAACACAACTACGTTTCCTATCTCTATCTAAACTGGAAACGTGAAAGAATTAACAGAAAATAAGCTAAAAAAATAAATTGTTGATATAACTTTATTTCATTTTATGGGTCTATAGCTGACGTGGTAGACGGAGCTATAATTTCTCAAATCGATGCAGTTGAGACATCTATTCGTTATTCTAAATGAGTTGATATTTTCGATGACAGTTGAGACTCTACGTTATTCTACAATGAAGGTTTGTATTATAGTTGGTACAAACAGCATTAAAGCTCTTTTTATGAGTGTAGTTCCTTCCATATTGAATCTCTGGCTATATGTTTAGAGGCGACTTCCAATCAAAAACAAAAGGTTTGCAAATGCAAGCTCCACCAAGCCAATCCCATTGTGGACAGACGGACAGGCCTCTCCTGCCACTCCAAATGGTAACAATTCCATAATTTCTGCCCTCTAAAATCAATGGAAATTATCTATAAATCTTTCCTGGAAAGAATTCTTCAGATTTTTCCAAGGTTTTAGGGTCTCCTTTCTATCGCCACACATTGTGACCTGGATTCGAGTTTTTGGGATGAATTTCGGATAGCCATCTGATTGCCTGAACTGTGAACATGGTTTCTCTTGTAATTAATAGTGTTCCTGGTGGGTCAATCTCATTGTTTCTTTCATACCATCTTTAGGTATTCAAGCTTGTCCAGTGTCAGTTTTTCAGATAACTTTGTTTGTTTCCAAAGGAAGAGTTCTGATTTCGATCTGTGCTTTCTCATTAGCTCTAGATTTCCTAACAAAGTTCTGAACATGGGCCCAGACTAAGAAACTATTGCTCCAGTGTCCGCTCCAGCGATAATATTATTGTTGATATATAATGTTCTAAATTGAATTATTCCAGAGTGCCGAAAATTGAAGCCAAAATTAGAGAACTAGAATTGGTAAATTCAAAATGAGAAAATTATCAAGATTCAATTCCTAAAACTTATTGAACTATTAACTAATAAGTGTCCAAATTTTACGGATCAGTAGAATATTACCCTGAAGAATTGCTTTGATATGATTTTGAGAGATTGAATTCACCAGATTCAGTTTTGAATCTTTCTCCATATCAACACAAAAACATCAACGGAATAATCTTCATGTCCAGGATCTGATTTCCTTTTGGAATGAATTCATGCAATAATCTCTGTATAACTCATGCAAGATTCTGAAAAAGTTTGTCTTTACTAGTCTTATCACTGGAGACTGATAAGCCTATCAACAATGCCAACCCACATAAAGGAAAAAATCAGCTGCAGAAACTCCCAACATAGCCAACCCTTCCATGAATCACTTTTGAAATCTTTCATGGGCAAGTCCCTCTTTCTTAAAAACTTTCCCAAAGCCCACTCTACAGGTACATTTGCAGTTAAGAGAAAAAGTCTTTTCACTTAGATCAACAGGAGAAGAAAGGCTGAAGAAGATTATAAAATCGAATCGATTAAAAAACCCACTTCTTCTTCTCTAGTGATTGGAATGATATGAACTCTTTAGCGTCTAGAAAAGTTGAAGAAAACACAAATCTTTCTCATTTCTGCTCCATTATCTCCATAATGGTGTTAAAAGCTATATCAAGATAGCTGTAAGATTAGCCTTCCAATGCAAGCCAAGCGAAGGTCTGCTGCAACTAAATTGAGGTCATTTTGCTTTAAAGAGCTCTTTTGCAGCTTCTGCAGATGCAGAGGAGATAATAACTGTAGGAACTCGACCAAATTGCAGAAGCATCACAGGACCATATTTCTTGGATAGTTGCCATAAAGAATAATGAGGTAAGGCCCCAAGTTGGTGTAAATTGCCTATTATTGGAAGTCTAGGAGGACTAGGTGGGAGGTGCTTGCTATTTAGTTTCTTTTTCAAAAGAAAAATGAAGTGGAAGAGAAACAAGAAATAAAGCAAGAAGAAGCGGAAGTAACCATAAAAGCAGAGATGGAGAAACCAATTTTTTTTTTTTTCCTGGTTCTTTTTTGGTGTTTGTTGTGATATGTTTATATGTGAGCTTGCTCCAATAACTTCCTATCACATGTTTTCACATGTCAATCATGCATGAACTATCTTTAATTTTATTTCTTATATTAGTCAATGATTAACATTAAACACTTCATTTTTTATCAAATACTACTTAAATAAAATTTTTTTTGTCTCAAAATAATATTATTTATCATTAAAGTATCATATGCAAATCCAACTTTTGTAACATTATAAAATAATATATAATTTTATAATGTTACAAAAGTTGGATTTGCATATGATACTTTAATGATAAATAAAGATGGTGATGATATTTTCTCTTGCCCTTTTTCTTTTTTTCAGTTTTAAATGTATGGCATGTGCTTTATGATTCTGTCCCAATATAATATTTATAAATTGGGTGGGGGTTGTTGATATATATATATATATATATATAATATAACTAATAATCAAATTCCATTAATGAAAACCAAGAATACCAAGAATCTCTTCCAAAATTCCATTAAAATTATGTGCAATGTAGAATTAAAGTTGAAATTAATTAGAGAGTTTTGATCCAATAGTCACGGTTTTTTTCAATAGTATGGTTAATACATGTATTCATTTTTAAATAAGAATATTGGTTGGAGGCTGGACCGCAATAAGCCGAAAAGAAAAAATGTATTGGGCTTAAATTCCATTAATAAATAAATAAATAAATTAGTAAATTTAGCTATTCTCTATCTTATATTATAGTTATACATATTGTTTTATTATTTTTGTTACTGTTATTATTATTATTATTATTATTATTATTATTTATTATTATTATTATTATTATTATCATCTAGAATTACCGGTCTAAAACCAATCCAAACTCAAACCAAGCCCAACCCAAAGAATAGTCAAGAAAAATCAAGAAAGTGTATGTAGAGCTCCGTAATTAGATTACTGTATTTTCTTTTCTAATATGTAGAGCTCCGTAATTATATAAGTGTGAGTTGTATAATAGATTTCATTAAAATTATATACTGAAGATGTACGAGTTATGGATTTATTTTAAAGTTGAGTTATGGATTTATTTTAAAGTTAATTGAGGACCGCAAGCCCGTGATACATTTGAGTAAATGAATGTAAAAGTTATGGCATGATGAGCTTGAGACTCAGTTTATCTAAAACGTCGACTGTTTAGGCTTGTTGCGGATTTAGGTGGAGTTAAGCCTCCCAAATCTTAGTACTGGTCGGTTCATAAATTTAAGTCGTAAGATTTATATACAAAATTTAAATTTAAATTGTTTAGGTATTTAATTCAACTAGTCTTTTTTTATGACGTGCATTACACGTTTATTATACTCATTATTTGTACTCGTTTAATTTTTTTGTTTATGTAATATTAAAATATAAATTTTTTATTTAGATTAAAATAAATAAAATGTTTATTTACATTACTTTATTTATTACCATACACTTTGCCCCCTAAAAACTACTTGTAATCTTAGTTTCCTATGTTTTCTATTTTATATAATAAAATGGTCATTCAAGTAAAAGTTTACCGTTGACAAGCATTTTTCCAAGTATAGTCGAAAATCGCTACAAGTAATATAAAGTGAGTAGAGTATCGCGTGTGCCACAGGGATTGTGTACCAAAGTACCAATTATTATTATAACTATTCATTATTATGTTATCTTGTTATTATTTAAACAATGATTGAGAGAATTGTTGTATAAGTGTAAAATAAACAAGAGTCAAGTAAATAAAAGTTGATTGAAAGAAATCAAGGAAGTAAGACTACTAGGGGTTTTGATTTCACTTAATTCTATCCAATTTATTTCATTAGTTCATTAATCAATTTAATTATTCAATTAGGGGAAACAACTCTGAATTCACTAACAAGCTCTTCCGATGTATTGCTAGCTATTTTAATTCCATTTAATTACCTATTTTCCAATGGCATAATCAAATATGAATTAAATCATTAAGTCATGTAGTTGTTTAAGAATTTACAATTTAAGGTTTGATAAATCATAAAAAACCCCCCATGTGTCAAACCATATAGCTTCCGCATCAAGTTGTTATTCTCACGTGTTTTATTAACATTTTCTTATCAAAGATCCTTCTTCCGATAGTGATATTCGCGATAGTGATAATTGAAATAAATCAATCTAGGGGAAAATTCTGCCTAGAACATTAAGTTCAATCAATAAATCATAACTTGAATAAGGGAAAAATAAAATCTAAAATTACATAAATTGGAAAGAGATAAGTACATCAACCCTAGTATACCAGAAATTTAGTTACAAATAGTATCAAATAAAACTCAACAATAACTTGATAAATATTCCATAATCAATAAGATAATTGAACGAAATAAACAAGATTAAGAGTTTAAGAAATAAGACTTGTTAACAATTGAGCATCCAAATGGCTTCCTTGAATCTTGCACAAACTCTTGAATACTTGATAATTTGAAGAGAGAAATTATGTACAAGAATAATAAGGAAATGAGAGATGATCCCCCTTACAATGAATTCCTCCTCTTTCTTTGTAATAGACTTCATAGAGAGAAATTCCTCCTCTCTTTATATAGACTTCATGTTTTAAGGGAATAAAGTTCTCCTTGTTTTAAGGGAATAAATTCTCCTTGTTTTAAGAGAATAAAATTCTCCTTGTTTTAAGAGAATAAAATTCTCCTTGTTTTAAGGGAATAAATTCTCCTTGTTTTAAGAGAATAAAATTCTCCTTGTTTTAAGAGAATAAAATTTCCATTAGACTTTAAATTTCTCTCAATCACGGTCCGAGCGTGCTAGAGTCTGTGTTTTCACTTGATTTTCCTTAAATCCAGCACGGGTGTGCTAACTAGCACCGGCAAGGCATGAGTGTGTTGCTTTATTTTACTCTTCTCTGTGCCAAAACCCTACAAATTAAAACAAAAACAGAAAAAAAAAAAATAACCCTCTCTTTCTCTCTGTGCCAAAACCTATCAATATTTTCCTTAAAGATTAAGTGCTAATCAATGAATTCAAGGGAGCTTTGAAAAAACATAAATAAAAAATTAATTAAAGTAATCTAAAAATACTACAATCCTAATAAAACCACATTAAAAATATTATAATAATAGTATATACATTGTTTGTCCTCAAGCGAACAAAACTAAAATATTAGCTTATTATGGTATGGAATAATCATTCACAAATTTCATAAGTAACCAAGAGTCATTAACATACCAGAAATAAATCATGTGTTTTTATGGCTATGCATTTTCTAGCCAAAATTTAATTTTCAATAAAACACATTCCCTTAATTAAACATAAGTTAACAAGATTTTTATCATCAACAATTATTCAACTTATGACAGTTAGAATATGAATTTACAAAAATCATTTAACCTTTATATAAGATGTTTGAATACAAGTTTAACATTCCCATAGGGAAAATTAGTCATTTCTTCTCCACAATTTAAATGCATACAATTTAAAATATCAAAAGGTATTTATTTAGGTTGTAATGGGGTTTTAAGGATACATTTTCGACTAAACAAAGAAAAGGATAACATGGTAAACAAAAGTACAAAGAATGTCTTAGCTAAGTAAAGAAAAGGATAATATGGTATATAAAAGTACAAATAATGTTTAATATCAGGATTTTCATTTATATTAAAAACGAATTTTTATTTGTGAAGGGAGATTAACTTGAAGTCTCTTACTAGCTCAAAATTAGATCTATTTTTGGCAAGGTCTCTTCATAACACTTTTGATATTTTCTCCCTTGCTAAAGTTCCCCAAACTTGAATTCTTGATTAATTGCTTCTCTTATGGGGTTTTCTTTTTTTTTTTTTTCTTTTTTTATTTCCTTCTTTTTTTTTTTCATTCATTTGCTAGTATTAATGAAATTTTCTCCCTTTGTTGCTATGTTTTAATAAAAATCAAATCCTTCAATTTCACATTATTGCACTTAGGGTTGAAAATTAATTTGGTTTAATGGCTAGGTTTAAATATGGGTGAACAATAAAAATTTGATATAGGCTTCGAATGGGTTGCAAAGGTCATAATTTCTTAGGTGGTCTAAGCTAGATATGAGGTTTTTAACAAAGAATGCCTAAATCATTTCTTTCTAAATGTAAGCACAAAAAAAATTTGTCTTGAAGAAAATTGAAAATTCTAATTTTGTTTCTACGGAATGCCAAGGTTAAAATAAATTTTGATTTAAACACATCTATAATCAATAAATTCTTCACAAAGTTGAATGTTTTAAATCTTAGAAACAAATGGGTTAAGATCAAAAGGAAACATGTTAAGTTAAAAATTTTAATCATTTAAGCTGACAAAATAATTAACTTCGAAAGAGGCAAACTAAATTCATCAACAAGTTAATGAATTGGAAGATAATTTTTAAATTTGCTTACAATTATTCCAACCTATATTACTAATGAAAATAACAAACAAAATAAAAAAAATAAAATTTCTAACTAAAATTTTCTTTTCCCCAAAAAACCCCTTTTTTTTATAATCTAAGCAACATTGTCCCAATGTGCGCAAAAAATAAGACATTCCTCAAACTTATCAATATCTTATCAAAACAATGTATAAAAATAACATAGCGTAAGAAACACCTTACCCACTATTATTTTTTGATAAAATACAATAAATTCAAAGTAAACGGAACGCAACTAGATCAAATGCTAACTTCTAAAGTGAAAAAGGAACAAAAGTAATATATATATTATACTATATAATATATATATATATAAAATAAAAATTAATAAGGAAAAAAAATGGAAAGGAAATTTCATATAAAAATAATTAAAAGCAAAGGAAGTAAGTAGAAACAGGTAGGTAAGAGTAGAACAAAAACAGAAAGAAAGAAAGAAAAAGTAGGTAGAAGAAAAAAAA